CATGCACCAGCCAGAGTGACCGCCGGCGATGGGGTCGCACCGGGCACCGCCCAGCGAAGAGCCCAGTTCAATATGGGGTTTGCACCCTTAGCCAGAGATTCCCCGGCTCTAGTGACACCTCTGAGCCATTGGGCCCCATCCTCTTCCAGTGTAAATGGGGCATTGATTTCAATGCCGCTGCGCCAATTGACTCCATATTGAGCCATAGTGCTCCGTAGCTGCCAGAGTCCGATCCCCTCCTTGTGACCGCTGCGGTCGCCACCTTCCCCACAGACCCAATGGGAGCTGGCCCAAGACCACCCCACAGGCCCAGAGGGGACGGCTCCAGCTTGGGGGCAGCGCCTGTTGTGAGAGCCCCTCTCTCATCTCCTACCTCTCAGGCCAGGTTGACCGGGTGCCCCCTTTTCTCCAGGGCTTCCTGCTGCGCCTGGCGTCCCGGGGCACCCCTGTAATATGGTGAGTTTCTCAGCGCCGGAGAGACCCACCACCTTCACCTCTGCGGAAACACAAAGAGAAACAGGAGAAGGCACGATCCCAGCACCTGCTCCGGCTTGGCCCCGGCGAGTCAGTTCCCAGCATCGCTTACCCTGGCCCCTCTGATAATTACCGCTGGCCCCTCGCTCTCTGTCTCTGGAGGGCTCTGTGGAACCAAGGCTGCTGGACAGGACCTGCCTTGGGCTCACAGGTCAGCACAGCCCAGTGAGGGAGAGGGAAAGGGACCCAAAAGGCATCTACCACTACGTCCGCGTTGCCTCCCTGCTCTCAGCAATCACCGGCCCAGCGATAGCCAACGTCTTCCTACTCCACTGTCCCTGCGCAATGGCCCACTCCATAGCATCTCCCAGTGCTGGGCTGGTCTAGGCTGTGGGAACTGGCCCTGCACTCAGCGCTCGGCAATAAATGCATCCTGGGGCACCAAGTGGGTGGGCGGCAGTGGGGGAGCTTTCACCCCTGTTCTTCTAGCCACCACCCCCCACACTCTGGGCTGCGCCGCCCATCCCAGCCACGTGGCCTTCACCTTTTTACAACCAGCTTTTACCCGGGAGGCAGGGACGCCTGGCCCACGTGACATTGGAGTGCATCACCCAGACAAGCTCTCCCCATGACAGGCACACCCCTGGGGTCCAGCCTCCATTCCTCCCGGCTCAGCTCCAGCCCATCACCCGCTCGGCACCCCCAAACCCGTCCCTGCAGCCAGCCCAACGGGATCAACCCCCAGGGCCCAGCCGTCAACGGCCTGACTCAGCTACTCCACCGCTGGAGCCAGTTAAATGGCTAGAGAACTCCCCCTGCCTTCGCTAGGCAACGTGGGTGCCTCAGAGCTCAACCTAGCCCCCCATTTACAGCCCCAAAACGGAGCTTCTCCTACCTGGGCAGGTGCCTGGGTCCCCGGTTACCAGCGTCCAGGTGCAGAGCCAAAGCAGGGCTGGAATAAAGCCCCAAGGGCCGACTGGCCACATCTTCACTCTGTTCTCTCGTGAGCCCGTCCCTCCCCAACTGCCTCTCGGTTTATGTATGTCCCAGGAACAATGCCCTTGTGGGGAGCTTTTCCTGGGAAGTAAACCGGGTTTCCCACCATTGTTCCAAGGCACAAAAGCTTGGCAGCCCCCACTACCATCCTCCAGAGAGCCTCTGGAGAGGTGGGGTCGGGCCTCTTCCTCCAGCACGGCACAGCGTGTCCTAGCCAGCTCTGGCCGTGGGGTTTCAGGCGCTGACCCCCAGCTCCGGCCACGCAGCCCTGGCCTTCAGCCACAGGGCTTCAGATGCCAACAGGCTCCTATCTCTGGCTGCGTGGCACCAACCCCCAATGCTGACGGCAGCTGCTGCCCCAAGTGCTGACCCCCGTCCGTGCGCTCCAACCCCCAGCCCTGGCCGCCGACCCCGGGTGCAGATCCCCGGCGCTGGCCTTGGGCTCCGGCAGGGGCTGGCTCTGGATGCCAATCCCTGGCCATGCGACAGCAGGCACAGACCCCAAGCGCCAGCCCCCAATCCCAGTGGTGGCCGATCCCCGGCCCTGGGCACTGCTCCTGGATGTCGACCCTGGGTTCCGGCGGGTGCTGGCCATGGGCGCCAATCCCCAGCCCGAGATGCAGATCCCCTGCCCCAGTCACACGGCAGCGGGTGCCAACCCCAGGCTCCGGGGGGTGCTGGCCAAGGGCACGGACTCCTAGCTCCGGCTGTGCAGCGGCGGGCGCGGGCCCAAGCGCCGACCTTGGGCTCTGATCCCCGGCCATGCAGCTGCAGGTGCCCACCCTGGGCTCCAATGGGTGCTGGCCCAGGGCACCGACCCCCAGCTCCAGGAGCCAACCCACACCCCTGACCAGACAGGGGCAGGGCCCCCTGCATCCATCCTCCCTGGCCCCTGCTGCCTCATCCCCCCACTCCTCCATCCAGGTCTTAACTTGCTGTGAAAAGTGATATTAACAAACATACCACTCTCACTTTTCACAGCATTATTTTTATTATTGATTATGCAAAAAGCCCTGCATAAAGAAATGACAATGCTCTGGCTGTGGACATGCCCCAATTTATTTGTTTTCCCTAAAGTTCATTAAGTATTTCAGGAAAAAATGTCAGTGCAGCCCCCAGTCAGAGTTGGTGGCCGCACTCTGAGGCCACCAAAAATGTGTTGTGAGACCCCCTGTCCTAGGCCACATGCCATAACAACGCCCTGCAAAGGGGAGACACCGGAGCGAGCTGGGGCAGGCCCGCTCTGTGCTGAGGACCGGGTCAGGCTGACAGCTGTAGGCTTCAGTGTTCAAATACAAGGTGCGAGCGAGCACAGGCCTGGGAGCCAGGAAGTCGTGAGCTCGGTGCCCAGCACTGAAACGAATGCCTTGCTTGGGCCGCCTTTGCATGCTTCAGTTTCCCCACCCGTGAAAAGGGGATAACACCATTACCCCCGTCGCTCCCACA